TCAGTGACTCAGCTGTGGCCAGAAGTCAAGTGGAAAAAAACTCACTGACTTTTGGAGTAAACTGGGACAAACTGTGTTCAGACGGAGCAGAAACGCTCTAAAGGTTCTAAAGTTTGTAAAGGTAGAGATTAAACGTGTAAGCTGTAAAATATCTACCGTGTGTTGGTAACTCCTGTGTGTGGAGAGTCCAGCTTTATTACGTGGTTGTAAAATAAACAGGAGGAAGAAATTCAACTTTTATCTTTGGTTAAATGATTTATGGCGCTTTTATTGTCACACAGCACAGAAGACATTTCTGAATGAGGAACAATGCTGCTTGGACTTTAGAGGGTTGAAGTCTTTGCCTCAGAGGAACTTTCCAAACATGTTCCCTACAGGTTATACTTCTACTACTGCACATGAATGATTCATGCCGTTAGGATGTATATGACCGGGTTACGCTTCCACAGCGGGAGGACACCGTGTTCAGCATATTTGTCTGGATGTTTCCCAGTTTAGCCGTTAACAAAAGCAGAGGGTTGCATGTTTTCTGAGGGAGGGGTGAAGCGTGTGTCATACCGCCGCCATACGGTTCTATTCAGGATTCCTCAAAGGACGCCTTACAGCTTCACGTCTCCGTCGGGTGTGCAAACCACCTCAACTGGTTCCTTCTACTCTCACAAAGCAGCTCATCTGCTCTCAGCTCCTCCCAGATCCTAAAGCAAATCTAAAACCAGTTAAAAAAGCTTTAGGGAGCATGTCTGGTGCAAAGGAGGCACCGATGAACCTCAAACACAGCAGCTCAGTGCAGTTTGTGGACTTCAGTAGAAGCAGCTCGTTCCACTAAAGCCACACTAAACAATCCAACAACAACTGTAGTAATTCTATGAGTGTTTAATTTAACCCTGTCCAGCATTCTGATTTAGATTAAATGAAAGTGATGCCGTTGTCCACGTTATCCAGAGCTCGCTGTGACTGAATCACGCTTTCTAGGAAACACTGAAACACATCTGATGTTTCACAGCAGCGTAGATTAGGAAGAACGAAACTGAAATTTTCACCAGAGGTTCTGCAGAAACTACTGCAGTAGTTGTGAAAGTCCACGACTGTAAAACCAGAAGGAGTCAGCTGGTACAGAAGCATGAAGACAGTCAGCTCGGTGTGAATCCACTCAGGTCGTCTAGTTCCTCCGCTGGCGTCGGCCTGCTCAGACGTCACTGAGATGATATCGAGCTCGTACACTAGATGGTGTCGTATCTCCACAGAGCAGCACATGGATGTGTTTAACGTGTTCACACAGGACTCAGCATCACTGCTGTTTGCTTTGTCCAGACTCCTGAGTTGTGATGAACTGGAGTCCGACTTGCAGCTTAAATGTGAAACCAGGAGTAAGAAATGAACACGACAGCAGTTTGAATGGTTCAGGAGGGATTCAAAGGTCTTGCTTTTAGTTTGCCTTCACTCATCAGACTGTTTCAGCTCTGACTGACTTTATCCACCTGTTTCCAACCAGGACCGTCACTCTCATGCTACAGTTCAGACATTTCTTCAAATAGTGTTTGTGGTTCGGTCTTCATGTCAGCTGAATGTACGTTAGGAGCTGATGTTTAGGAGTTCACTAGATGAGAGTCAGAAAGCACTTTTTCTATCGATTCTTGAGTTATTCCATATTTTGCTCCAGATGCTGCTCTTGCTCTAGTTTCAGTTTTAACTTGCTTTAATTTGTTTTTATGTTCATCATCCGTTATCTTTAATCTCATTTCGTGCTAAAACACTTTGTGATGAAATGCGACTCCAGAAGCCCACGGCCGCCTCATGTGCTGAACCGAGACGCTCGTTTCTGACAGCGTGAATCATCCATTCACATTCTCAGCCACATTCATTGAAATTTAAACTGTGCCGTAGCCCAGTCTGCTCACTCGCTGGCATATTTATCATTTATGTGTGAGAATGTGCACGCCTCGACATCTGGCACTCTCCTCCTCTGACATCATGCTTCATGTACGCCACACGTTTCATATTCAGACCCACGGCGCTCATTTGCTGCTGCGCCGTTCGGTTCGTTTGCAGGAAGTCACTTTGATTCACAGCTGATCACATAAAGAATAACATAAAGGAAAGTTCTGCTGATGCTCGTTCACACCACTGACATCATTCAGCTGTCTTCTGCTAAACTAACGCATGAATGAAGGTAAACAACAAACATCACTTATTCCACCTTTATTCCAGAAGGCACACGAGCATCATCGTCATCACACTGCTGCAAATAAATTACAAGAAACATCATTCATGAGCGGTGTTCACCCTGTTAGAGACTCAATATGTGTGGAGACAAAACAAGAAATCTGTGAATGTGTGAGACACTGATGAGAACAATGTGCATAAACGGACTCTTGCTTTGCCTCTGGTCCTGTGCAGCGATATGCAAAACAATTCTTTAATAAATAATCCAGTTCAACAGGGTCATTAAAACATTTAGGCCAGATTGTCCAGCTGTACAGTTTGGTGGACGTGGCTCGGACCTGGACGGGTAGCATACTCGCTAAACTGTGCGTACTGCAGCTCGTTGTAGAGTCCAGGCCTTGGAGCGGGCCTGGTACTGGACTTCTCACAGAGCTTTGGTGGTGCACTGCCCCCCTACAGGCACACACTCTGTTGTGATTCATAAAAATATGTAAGAAGCTGGTCTGGGAGGCCATCTAGTGGTGAGACGGATCCTGGTACAGTCTCTGTGCTCAGCTAATACTGATGTGGTTCCTCTGTGAGCGTTAGAATGAGCTCCCTCTGCCTGATCACTGCCTGATCAATGCCTGATCAATGCCTGATCAATGCCTGATCAATGCCTGATCAATGCCTGTACGTGTGCCATGTAACAGATTCAACAATCATTCAGTGGAAATGTCGCAATGCAATGTACAAAGTAAAACCACAGAGGTGATATAACACGATGTGACCGGAGGTAGTTGACGTTATTCCATCCCTACGGGCGGGTCGACGCTCTCGGGTCCAGCTCGGAGCAAACCGGTGAGAACCTCGTAGGTGAAGAACACCACCATGTTGACGGGGAACGCTCGCAGACAGTTGATGCTCAGACTCCTGAAGAAAACCCCGGCTCCCTCCGCTCTCACCGTCTCGGTGACGCAGTGCCAGAAGCCCCTGTACCGCCTGTTGTCCCGCGAGCCGTCCATCTGCAGGCGGGCTTTGATCACGTCCATCGGCGTTCCCACAGTCCAGCCCGCCATCCCGGCTATCCCTCCGGCCAGCATCACCGCACTCCAGTCTGGAGGAAGAGGAAAGAACATCTACAGTTTAACCTTCAAGGAACTCGCATCAGAAGCACCGTTCAGGCTCCTCTGTGTTCATCCAGCATCTCAACATGTTGGTCTGATGTACAGCTGGAACCAGAAGCTCACATCCACCGTATGAAAGCACACAAAGCCGTTTCTTTCTCACCGTCTGACATGAAATCAGAATAAACGTTTCCTGTTTCAGCTCAGTCAGGATCACCAACATTAGTTCTATTTGCTAAACACCAGAAGAAAGTCAGAAATTTCCATCCATCTCCTCAGTATCTGCCAGCGTTGCCTTTAAACTCTATGACTTGGGTCAAACGTTCTGGGTTTCCCTCCACAAGCTTCTCACCACTTCCAGCTGTACGTCTGACTGGACCTGCTGATCCTGTCACCACGGCGACAGACAAACGTTTCTGCATCACGCTCAACGCAGCACAAGTCTGAGCTTCACGCCGTCACATTCACTGGTTGTGTTTCATGTTTTTCAGCTCACTGATCAGCTGTTCAGAAGATGGAGAAAATGTCAGTCAGCGTTTCCCAAAGTCCAGAAGTGACCAATGACCCAAAGATGTTCAGTTTAGCGTCACAGAGGAGGAAAGAAACCAGAAGGTATTTACATCTAAGAAGCTGGAGTGAGAACGTTTTTACTTTTTTTCCTTTAAAAAAATTACTCAAATCGATTATCTAAACAGCTGACAACTAATCGATTGACGGCTGTAGTTTTACAGCGTGTTGAAGATCACAGTGGACTGAGTTCTGTGAAATGATTCTGGAAGCACCGGCATCGGTCCATAAGCTTCACAGAGGGAAACCGTTTGTAGAGCTGCCAACGTCACAGAACACTTTTCATCCACTTTTGCATCTACTACAAACTAAGATGCCCACAAAAGTAAAACTCTGCTGTGAGGAAGGCAGATGCTGACAGGTCAGGACTAATGAATGTAATCTGGGTTTTGACAATCTGCAGTTCAGTCGGTTCTTCTGGTTCTTCGTAGGAGTCTTTCCTTTGAGTTGATTAAATACCTGCAGGGTTCATGTGAGCTGCACACGTTCATGCACCACAGCAGTGACTCTGTTCGCTGCTTGTGATCATAAATGATCCGTGACATGAAGACAGGACGGATCAGGACCCAGCAGCAGCTCAGCAGGACCTCCATCACAGCTGGTGGCATGTTTTTAATGTGATGTTGGTGAAGTAACAGATCATCACCACTCATGGATTAAATGTCCAAATGATGAGCACGTTTTTGGACTATCGGTACATTATTACTCATAAATGGATGTTCTGTCCGACCTCGACAGATATGGTGCTGCGTCTCTCTCCATCGCTTTTCTGAATGAAGCCTGGAAACATGAGCTTTAAAGTGACTGAAGTCTGCCTGACAGAACCTCGTCTCTTTAACTGACTGATAAAACAGCACTGCTCCAGACCTAATGCCTGTACAGGGCTAGACGGGCCTAGAGTCCTGTCAGCTGTCCTATGAGGTGTTTGTTGGAATCAGAAGTGTTTCCAGTGTGAGTGAGCGACCAGCGTATGCAGCACTACGAGCCTTCAGGCAGAAAGGCGGCTCCTCGCTCACCTAGCGTTTTCCGGCTGCTGTCGATCAGCCACTCGCAGATGGTTACGTAAGTGAGGAAGTACGTTGCGTAGGACGGCCCGTCCCTGAGCATGAGCGGCAGAGCCCCTCTGTAGAGCCCCATGAAGCCCTCCTCCTTGGTGATGCTCAGCAGGCAGTGGACCGGGCCGCGGTACTTCGGTTTGGTTCCCCCTCGCTTGGACTCAGTCTGACACTGCAGACGGACCTTCACGATGTCACCGGGACACATCACCGACGTCTGGTGGAGGAAGACGAGGAGACGCTCAGCAGGTGATCTCTCAAAACATGCACGAATTAACTGAGCACATGTGGGAGTAAAAGTGTGTGTGTTTGAGTGCAGGTGAAGTATCCGGATACACGTGGACGTGCTCAGCTCACTGAGGCACACGGCTCAACACTTCTCAGATGTTTGTGTTAAAGAAGCGTCACCTGAGCGATGCCGCCTGCCAGTCCAGACAGAAACACCTCCAGTTTGGTGTTGGAGCCTCCGGCGGCTCCTCGCGCCTGGCTCAGGCACTGCAGGCAGTTCCTGTACGTGCCAAACACCACCGAAGAAGTCATGGAGACCGTGGCAAGGGGCAGGAACATGCCTTTAAAGAAGCCATGCACCTGACGGCACAAGAGAGGCAAAAGAAAACACAGATGAAGTCAAAGCAAAACAAAAACTTCTACATCTTTCAGTTCATTTCATGGTTATAAGACGCAAATCGGCTTCAAGTGAAACGTGTTGCTATGGTGACTTTCTATACGCTACCAGGCACAGAGTGAGCGAAGTCAGCAGCCTCATCCAGGGTTAGCACGTCTGAAACCTTTGAGAGGAAAAACTCTAAATATGTTCCTTTTACACAGAGTCCAGATGTAACGTGAGCAGCTACCCTGAATAACTTTGACCTTCTTACACAGGATTCCTCCTCTTTTTAGGACATGTCTAGTGTGCTGGGATGCAGACGAACAGATTCCTCCGTGTGTTCATAACCTGTTCAGTCCTGTGCAAACACGATCAGCCCTTTGGTGTGAGTACTGTAGTGGAGCCGCTCTGAAGGCTTTAAACCACCTGATTCACAGCTTGGTTCTCTTTCTGATATATTAAAATTAATCATTGCATTATTTTAAAAGCACTTAAACTGTAGTCTCTGTTCGTACTGTACGTGTTCATCAGAGGACGAATGCAAACTGTTCGACCTGAATTCTTTAAAATCCTGTCATTGTCCTCTTTGTCACTGCGACAACTATCAGCTGCCTGAAGTCTAAAAATGCAGCGACCGCAGACAGACACTGGAGTCGGCAGGTGATTCTCTGGTTTCACTTCAGCAGTTAAAGGGAAACTGAAATGACAATACTGACAAACACATGACGTATGGAAGAGCTGCAGTGAAAGAGCGGTGAAGCACCTTCGTGCTCAGATGTTCCATGAGCTGAGTGACTGAGAGCGTTCTGTGTCATCCTGCACTTCTGCTGATCCACTTCCTGTCGGAGCTTCAGCCACTAACGCACACTTTCACGTGCGCGACTTTCATTTGCTTTTTAAATTATTCACAAAAACAGAAAATGAGATTTTGCAGACAAATGTCAAGAAGAGTGCCATTATTTTGAAAGGACAGTTCAGGACATTTTACTGTCTCTCTTATTTGTCAGACAGGAAACAGGTTGAAGAAGTTGCAGGTTTTCCTTTGTTTGTGGAATATGTAATAAATATCTTTTCTTAACCAGAAACCACTGGTTTACGTTGCTTCCTGGGACCCTGTTACAGCGTCACATAGACCCAACGTGGGCGTCTTTCTAAAATATAATTAGCAGAGCTCATAAACTTTATTACGTCACCTTGACAGATGTGCTCAGACCTGTTTCTAACTGCGTTTTTGTGTCTGGCTGTTTGTCAGTCGTCACACAGCTTGACTCACCCCTTCATTAGAGAACGTGGCCACCGCACACTGATACACTCCCGTGAACTGTTTCTGGGTTTGGATCCGGACCTGAAAACGTGAAAAGTAACATAAAAACGATGCCTCTTGAATTTGTTTTTAGACACGTGTGACTTCCTGTACCTTCACGGTGTCCAGAGGGTATCCCACCGCCACGCCACACGCTCCTGTTTGCAGAGGAAAGAGAGAATCAGCACACAGCAGACACACAGCGATGCTCTGATCTGACACGAAGGCCAACGGGAGGATTTATTTCTTTTCCGTTTCTCATAGTTTAAAACATAAAACCTTGACAGATTTAATATTGCTTTAGGTGAAGCCAAAACTTTTCAGGTGCTGTCAGGAGAGCAGGTCGGGTTTTAAACACTTATGGTCACAAATATAGCAGGTATGCGACCCGTCAGCCTGTTTGGACCAATGCTGGTTTGTTCTAGTATCACAGGAGAACGTTTAAGTGACAACAGCACACATCTGTTGTGGATGTTTTTCCATCACAGACATCCCAATCAAGCCCTCCAAGAATCATGTACGATTAGAAAATCACTATTTTTGTCACAAGTTTTGTGCAATTTCATGTTTAAATATGCAAATGAGTTATTATCTGTCCAAACATGCACCCAATTTACATTCAAGAGCAGAAAACTGTACTTTGGGAAAAAAACAAGTTCCAAATCCTTCTGTCATTCTGTTTGCACATTAAGAGTCAAAGGTTTTCAGAGAGGACTTTGGATATCGCTTTTTTAATCACGCCACATATCAGAAAATGCTGGTAACCGCCAGAAATAAACCAACTGTCGCCATGTTTTTAGGAATGAGTTCTAGAGGTTCTAAAAATCAAGCTGTGACTGATTCATGAATAAATGTTTCTGTAAAAGCCTTCAGAACACAGGCAGGAATACAACCAGGTTATTCTGGTCTATGTGTCTGTAGATGTGAAGTTTCTGGCTGTGTGCTGATATGTACTGTTAAATTTATTTCACTATTTTAATATATATCAGCGTCAGACTTTCTGGGTTGATGACTTCCATTAAGACAACTACTTTTTCTCTTAAATTGTAGGTTCAAATATGCAAATAAGATATTATCTCATTAAAGAAGGTTACATTCATTTCCAAACCACACACCTGAACATTACTGTAGATAAATCCACCTTTAAAATCCTTGTTTTATTTAAATGACATTTTGGACATCACTTCAAAAACTGAAGAACAACGTCAATAGCCAGGGTTAAAAAAAGGTTCTGTTTTCAACATGTTTTTATGAATAAAATGTTCTATAAACCAGCCTGGAAATGATATCAAGGAACAAACCTCTTTGCAAAAACATTCAGAACATATTCAAGGATAAACCTGGACGGTTTTGTGTGTGTAAGTGTAAATAAAGGGCAGATTACTATTTTTACAGATATATATATTGTACTTTTTTATACATATATTTCTACGGATTTTTTATTTGAACCCATTAGCTTACCAAATAAATATCTGAAATTCACTCAGTTAATTACTAAGAATAATACATCTTTGAAAAATGATTTTAAAATGTCTAAACTGTTGTTTTAAGGATGCTGTGACGGTTTTGAAGGATGCTGTAACGGTGCAGTAACGCAAACACCGACATGTGCACGTTTGTTTCCATCCGTGTGAAATAAGTCACGTTATGTAATCTCCACTTCACCCTGATCTTCTCATCTTATCTCAGCGTGCACACACACACACACACACACACACACACACACACACCAGCTAGTAGTTTAGCACATCAACCAGCTAACTGATGCTAACGTTACACAAACTGCATGGATTAGCATTAGCTGTTACCTGCGAATGATCCGGACACAAAATCCGCGATATGCATCCTGTCACACGGTGACTGTCCGCCTGCTATCTGTCAGCCTTGAGCCCATACTGTGTCCAACCGGAGCTGCTGGTCCGTAACCTTGAGTCTGTTGCTGTTACATGACATGTGGCGCTTCGCGTCACAGCGTCGGCTCAAAACACTGCCTCCGACTTTACCCGAACGCCGCCCGACTTTAGCCGAACACAGCTCCGGCTTTAGCCGAGCGTAGCCGGAAGGTCTCCTGTGTGTACTGTACACCTTGAGGTAAAATGTAAAGGACAACAGTATGTTTGTTCCAAGCCATGATGAAAAAAATTGCTTACAAACACATTTTGTGTCATTGTAACGAAAAGAAAACACCCAGAACATACTTTTAGGTCAAGTCAAGTCTCTTTGATGTCCCATTTAAAACAACAAACGGTCATCCAATGTTATATGTTCTACAAATATGCCTGACTGATTTAAAATGTAAGGCTGACAACCTACAGCAGTATTTTTATATACAGACTTGAGGTTAAGATCCCACAGTTGGATACATAGCTGAACTAATTTAAATACTATGCTTAAGACCCAGCAATATTATAAAAAAAAAATACACATAACCCTGATAAAATCAAACATAAAATTAAAGACCGTACAAAAGTTTAAAAGTTAATACTCGACAACCTGTACCTAACTACATTAAATATTAAGGTTAAGACTCTACAGAATTATTTATCATGATCATTTTCCTGACTAATAATACAGTAAGATTCTGCAGTATTGTATATTATATACATTTATTTTACTAAGGTTAGGTCATATAATGTTTTTTATGAGACACCCTACAACATTATATACGAATCAACCTGACTAACTTAAATATTAAGGTTACCGTATTGTATACACTCTCAAATTGCGTGACTAATTTGAAACTTAAGTTTAATATACTACAAATTATACATGGAAAACACAACAAATGCAAAGATTCCCTTTGAGCAAGCATATTAGCATGTTAGCGGCGCTTATTTTACTTCACGTCGACCATTCGTGTCTGTAGGTATAAGTTATAACACATTTCTTCATAGGCTGTGTTCTCGGAGTGAGCTTTCTTGTCTCCAGTACTCCCTGTTCTGTTCTTTGTTTTGTCATTTTACTGTGTTGTTCATAAAGTTTGTCAAAAAAAGGAAGCCCGATAAATTACGCAGATGACGTATGAAGCGGGGCGACGGCGTGAACCCTGCTCTCTGATTGGACAGAAGCTCCGGAGGCCGGTATAAGACCCGCCCCCTCCTCAATACTTCCCGTGACGCCAGCTGGCTCTCCACAGAATTAACAAGCGTCCATGACAGAGGCGGCGGAGAGGCACCGACTGTAAACACCGCGACGGTTCATGAAGAGCGTGTAGGTCAGCAGGAGAGAGTCACCGGGCCACAGAAGAAGCCGAACAGCCGACAAGAGAGAAACACAGCCGTCAGAAAGCAAAACCGTAGAGCGGGACGCGTTAGCAGCTAGCCGGTGCTAGCAAACGTTTAAGCTAACGGAAAGTGTCCGGTAGATTATACAGCCAGAGGCGGTTATTGCCCGGTGACCCACGAAATAAACGGTTTTAAAAAAAAATAAAATAAAACTACGTTTACAGGAGCCTCTGGTGTCGTTAGATAATAACGTCAGATACATAATAAAAGTCCCTGAGCTCGGTGACGGTGCAGAGCGGTGATGGACTTCGTTGCAGGATGCATCGGAGGTAAGTGAGCTTCACTCGTTATGTGATAAACCAGCGCAGCCGTCACACACTCCCCTGGATGTGAGGCTTTACAGCCCAGTCTAGCTGAGATCTGAGATTATTGAAAAACTCAAACATCACCAGGACCTTTAATGATGTGATGCAACGCTGTCACGAGATGACGAGCGCAGTTTCGTATTTACGGCACAATCCTGGAAATCCCAAACACCGCTGATCGCCTTTGACCTGATTGCACCACGCTGCTGTTCGCTTCCGCTGCCACCGCTAAGGGGAAAGTTAAGGGGAACTGGACTTACAGCAGTGACCAGCAGACAGGGTGAAATGCTGCTCAGCACATTTACTCAAGTATCGTCATAAAGAAACTAGTTGGAGGAACTCTAACTTGAGTGCAACTTCCAGTCCGCTGAGGTTGTCAGTCAGTCAGTTCCTCTTCTGATTACACTCAGTCCATTAGCTATTAGGTCTATAAAATGCCAGAAAATGGTTCAAAAAAGAAAAAAAAAAAGTCAGTCAGTGTTTCCCAAAGGCCAAGACAGCAGATGTCTGATTTTGTACCAGTGTAAACCAGAATTCAGACTATTTTGTTTCTCCAAAGACAATCAGTTATGGAAATAAATGTGTGATTAATGTAATGGTTGACATGTAGCTGGTTAATGGATTATTTTTTGCAGGTCTCCACTCAGCTGTATCTCAGAGGAAGTGGAGCGTTTTTACTCTCCTACATTCATCTCACGGCTTCAGTGACTTTGTCAATTAAGACTTTTGAACACAAAGCAAATGAAGCACTGGTCAAATTGGATGTTGTGTTGAACCTGTAGTGCTTAAATGAGTAGTTTATCAATCAATTATCAACCAAGTAAAACAGTGAAGTCTTGCTTCTACTTACATGCATCAAATTGTGTTGTGTGTATATAAGAGAATGAGTCACAGAGGACTTGTTGTTTGCATTCAGTGCTTTTAATAATTTCAGTTAGTTTTAATGCAGGACTTGCACCAGATGACTTTCACAGTCATATTACTGGTTGGTTTGGATTTGAACCAGGTCCAGTGTGGTTTAGGTGTGAAAACAGTGCAGTTTTCTTGCTTTGATGAATTCAAGTTTGGAGTTGGTTTTTGAAAGGCATTTACTGTAATTTCTAACTCCCATTCTCAGCAAGTAGTTAAAAAAAAGAAAAGGAGATTGTAGTTTGAGTTTCTCTTAACTTTTCCCTTAACTGCTGAAAGAGAAACTAACTGCAGTGTCTTGTTCTTTTAAAGCCAAATTCATCGTTTTAAGTGCCTGAAACAGTTTTTTTCTCTCTGACCAAACAATATGACATCATTCTTTTCCCCTGACCTGTTTTATAGAATGTTTGGATTATTATGCCAACATAACGTGATTGCATTAACTTAGCACCTAGAATTTAAAGTATCACTGAAGATTTAAAGGTTTATGGAGGAAAGAAATGTGTGTGTTCTGCAGAGGAATGCTCGCTCACCAGGAGTGCTGCAACCTTGTGCATGCTCCCAGTGTTGCTTTACCCTGCTAGGAATGGAAAGCATGCAAACACAAGTGCAAAGCCGGCTCTCATGCTGCAGGAGGGCCTGGCAGCCTAAAGGTTCCCCACGCTCCATACACAGAGGGCTCGAATCGGCACACACCCCTTCACAGACCAATCCCCTGCTCTCTTTATTTACAGTGACTGACCATGTGGCTTCCCACTTCGGGGAACCATCTACAGTTAACGGGAAGCTGGCTGTCACACTTTAGGAATGCCCTAGTTTGCATTTAGCTCAAAACTCCAGCTTGCAGTGAACACACATGGCCACACACATAAAAAGACTGATGCACGCACTTCCCGAAGCTGTGATGCAACACCGTCCTCTGCTTGTTTTTCCTCCTCTCAGATCACCGGCGCTCTGAGGTCAATGACCGCCCGTCATTGTGTCTTTTCCTGGCTTACAGCCGGACTCTCCTCCGATAGGCTCTTTTTACAATTGGGTCAGGTGACAGAGCAGGTGCTTATGTAGGATTAGCTGGCTGTGTTTGTTTACTGTGGGGACACAGATGAGTCAAGTCTGTTCTTTTTTTTTTAACGACATTTTCTTCATTGATATCACTACACTGGGCCTGTTGACGCTGTTAGACCCCAAAGCAGTGAGATTCTTTAACTGACATCTGGAATAATGAACACCATGATCAAGAGCCAGACCATAAACCCCAAAACACACACGACAGCCATTTGTTGGCAAACTTGTAATCACATTTGTCATTAATTTTGACTTATTCGCAACTGAAGGATTGATCAAAGTAGTGATTAAATTAACCCACTCTGCTTTAGAGTTACTTAACGTACAGATGTTAATCATCTCGTGCTGGTGTTTCCTGGCCCAGAATGAAGTGACTGTGCACACCATGACACATGATGGAGCCATGTGCAGTCAAAGAAACAAGCCCGTTATTTGACACAGACGTGTACCTTTGCCTGCTATCTTTTACCGTACGATGAACAAAAATGTATATTACGCTAGAAATGATGAAACCTCAGCTAGCAAAGCTGGTCAAACTCTGGATGATTATTGTTTGACTCTTGTGAGCGTACACCTCTCTGGAAGGCCTCCAAAGATCCTTCTGTGCAGGAGAAGCCCTGCTCTTGGAGTGAAAGATATGAATACACTCCTTTGTCTTGTGTGCACACTTTAATATAATCTCTGTTGGTTTGTTATTTATCGTGGATGTTTAATGAAAATCCATAAAATGCCCACTTACTGGTACTAGATGGTACTGGTACTGGTACTGGTACTAGACCTGATGGTGCAAGAGTGTATTTTGGGGGTGATCCAGCAAATGTTAAAAATGAAATTATCATGAGTAAATGTTGAGGCAGAATGTCTGAGAATAAACACATTGGCACGGCTGCCCAATGCTGCCCATCGTATGGCCTGAGAGGACAGACAGGAAAGCTCTGAGTCTCTCTGTGAAGGTGATTCTGTGAGCGCTGCATTCCTTCATGAGAACTTCTGCACTGTGGGAGCTATTATCAGCTCACAGTTTTCAACACAGACTCAGGTGAGAAGCCCAAATTGGCATCAAAACACGAGCATGTGCAGCTTACGTAACATTCAAAGACGTGCTAAAGAAAGTTTTAGAGGGTGTTGATGCGCAGCGAGTTGGCTCCGGATGATTCCGTGGTACCCTGGAGGAGATGGCAGCAGGCGCTCTCTACAATTACACAACCGCAGCAAGAGATTTGGCCCTCGGGGACTCTTCAGATCTGCTGGAGATGGATGCAGATGGCTTAAAACGATGGGAAATATGTGAACTCCAGTTTGAAGAAGAAGTGGCATGTGTGCAGGACTCTGTGAGGCTAATGTTCAGAGTTCACACGGTGCTCTTGGGGCAAAACTGAGTGTGTGTAATGTGGCCAAGCTGTATGAATATACAGTAAGCTATACCACACCTTTGATGCATTAGTCCTTCGTATGATTTGAAGGGTTAAACAAACAGTTTTATAAGGCACCAGTAATGGAGGTAAGATTAGAATAAAATGCCTAATTCTCATTGCTGGTTCCTTGTTTTCCAGGTGCTGCTGGAGTCTTGGTTGGACACCCATTTGACACAGTCAAGGTGAGTCCTTTACAGACTTTGTCAGTCATTCAGTGCACAGTTTAGTGGAAAAAAAATCTAAAGTGGCATCTTTTATAATGTGTTTTGTACTAAAATCTCAGTACGTCACTGTTTCAAGAATCCTCATCAGTACTTCCTGCTTTCTGTTTCTAATCATCGGTGCAGCTCCCGGACTTGAACATTGCTTTGAACTTTTCTTCAGTTTTCTCGGGTTTAAATGATCAGTATCTTCTCTTCCAGGTGCGACTGCAGGTTCAGAGTGTGGACAAGCCTCTGTACCGTGGGACCTTCCACTGCTTCCAGTCCATCATACGACAGGAGTCGGTATGTGAGTCCGTCACCTCACAGATATAATGCTCATACAGACATGCAGTCATACCGACCGACCCCAGTGAGAGGACTCTAGTTTAGTCTGGACTAGTCACTATGTTAGTGCTGAATATGTCAGCGGTCATTCTGACTGGTAGGATCTGTCTTGTATGACGGCTCATGTATTGGTCCGGCTCAGCCCTGTGGTGCAGAAGATGTTCGCAAATGTGGAAAAAGACAAAGAACTCATTAGTGAGGTGTTTGTGGAGAACAAGAGCTTTGTTAATTAGTGGTTAAAATTTAATTGAATTTTGTCCTCATCCTCTGTGACAAAATGGTTCAGAGGGTTGCAGCGCCATGATATGTTTGCTAAGCAGGTCACGTTTTACATGTCAAAGCTTCTGACGTAGCCACAGATACCTGCAGCGTCACTCAGAGTCAGAGCTACACATCTGCATCACTCGGACTCGCTCAAGCTTCATTTAAAATGCATTACATGGACAATGTGGATCTTAAACTGTCGTTATGACCAGTCAGAATTAAATGTAGGGTTCTGTAATGATCAACACATGAATGGTGGTGAAGACTCTGAAATGTCTGGATGTTTATTTGATTTTGAAGAATTAAACCGTTTATATAAACCATATCCAGTCTGGCTGCTGAGGTGTGAGACTGTCTTGCTGTAGGAAGGCGGCTGCTGCTCACCATGCAGCGCCGGCGTTTAACAGGTCTATCTTTAACAAGGTCCGGCTTTTATTGCCGGACCCAGATAGCTGTTGTGATGTTCAGCTAGAAGTCAGCGAGGGTAAAGTGACCCGATAGTGATGTGAGACGCTCGGGGTCTTGTGACAGGATGGGGCACCTTCAGTGGGGGGCGACACTTCTGGTTTGTATTTATAGACCGCTGGTTGTTCTAGAAACACTGTGTTCTGGTAACCGGTGCTTTAAATTATAAGAAAGACCAGGTTAAGTCTGTAAGAAGGACAAAAACCATGAATATGCTGACAACTGAACAGCAGTGAGTCTGTATTTAAAGTTGTGTGACTATGTGACCAGGTGATCTAATATGAAGGTTCTGACAGGTGGAGTGAGATGCTGAAGGTTTGTGTGTTACACTCTGAACCCTATGACACAGTTAGAACGCCATAAAGGATGATTTGAAACTAACAAAACCTAAACGTGTAGTTTTTTTGATCATTTATTTCACAAGAATTGAAAAAAATAAATAAAAGATGGAGTCAACATGTCCAACATTATTCTGAGTGTCCACAAGTGTTCCAGTCCTGGTCCTCTACCTGCTACAGGTATGTGTAGGCTGTGTTTTTAGTTGTATACATACACTCCTGTCTGCTCTGTAGAAACACAACCTGCGGTTCAGCCCAGTTTGGCCAGAAAGTCCTTGGATTTTAGTCACATGACTGCTGGTTGCAGCAGAGACACTGAAGGTTTCCTGGTTTCATCAATGACTGCAGATTTCTTGTTTCTTTTGGCAAATCTTTGAAGTGGACATGTGAACTGAAAACAGTAATTTTGCTGTGTTTCTTTAAAATGTGATCTTTTTATGTTGTGCTCCAACCTGCTGGATGGTTTTGGGCTTCAGAGGGCTGGAGGGCCGTGACACTGAGCCGCTGCTGATTCTGTTTCTCTCACTCTTGCTGCAGGTGTTTGGTTTGTATAAAGGCATTGGATCCCCCATGATGGGCCTAACGTTCATCAATGCCATAGTGTTTGGTGTCCAGGGAAACACCATGCGGCTGCTGGGACACGACACCCCCACGAACCAGTTCCTGGCTGGTGCAGCAGCTGGTGCCATCCAGTGTGTCATCTGCTGCCCCATGGAGCTGGCCAAGACCCGCATGCAAATGCAGGGCACAGGAGAGAAGAAGTCTTCTAGGAAGATGTATAAGAGCTCCTTGGACTGCCTGGCACGCATCTACAACCGGGAGGGTGTGTGGGGTGTCAACAGAGGCATGGTTACTACGCTGATCCGTGAGACGCCTGGCTTCGGAGTCTATTTCCTGGCTTATGATGTGCTGACGCGCAGCCTTGGCTGCGAGCCCGACGACCGCTACATGATCCCCAAACTGCTGTTTGCCGGAGGCATGGCTGGTATCGCCTCATGGCTCTCCACCTATCCTGTAGATGTGATCAAATCACGCCTCCAGGCAGACGGGGTTGGTGGAGTGAACCAGTACAGCAGCATTGCTGACTGCGTGAGGCAGAGCGTCCAGAGGGAGGGCTACATGGTGTTCACACGAGGCCTCACCTCCACGCTGCTGCGAGCTTTCCCCGTGAACGCCGCCACGTTCGCCACCGTCACCCTGGTCCTCTTGTACGCCCGGGGGGTGGAGGAGGGGCCCAATGACTGCGAGCCGGCCCAGCCGAGCCACCACCCCCAGATCCAGCAGCAGGCCCAGCCCTCCAGCCTGTGACGGCGCCGAGGCCTCCCCCAGACCGGGCACTTTACCAGAACACGGAGAGACGAGGATACAGACGGACCTGTTACTAGTGTCTGACTCGGCTTCACAGCAGACCAGCCATTCCCAGCTTCGAGTCAGATCACCTGGTTTATACAAGCACTCGTTTTTACTTTCATGTCAAAAAGGAAAAAGAAGGAAAAACATATTTATTTTTAGCAATAATTTAAGTTTCGTTTGCTCCTGAAGATGCAGACTTTTAAAAGGGATGAATTTACCTCTGATGAGATGTGTGACGGCTCTGAGCAGCAGCTTTTATCCTGAGGAAGGTCTGATGGAAGATGTCGACGTGTCGCTGAGCCACACAGCCGTCGGTGTGGCTGAGTGTCCAGAGTCACTGGAAACCATCTGTTACAAACGTCTGGAACTGTGCAGCGTCTACCTGCATCTGTATATACAACAGATTTTATGCTTTTTGTTTTTCTTTTTTAAATGTACACTGGAAACCTTTTCCTGCCTTATAATACGGTACTTTTATGTTGTCAAAGAACGCACGTTTGTACCTGAGCTGTTTCCTCTGGAGAGTCGACAGAGAACCAATGTAGCCGTGATAAGTGCGCTCAGCTTATCGCTCCCGTCTGCTTACAAACCAAAAACCGCTGCAGCTGTCATCTGATCATCACTGAAGCACTCGTCGTCGTCGCCGCTCTCCTCTGTCGACAGAACCCGGGTGGTCTGAAGGGCTCCTCGGGGGCTTGAATGAAAAGTGTGTGTGTGTGAGTCAGGACTTACGGATGCGTTTAGTTTCATTGTCTTGTTCTGCGTGTTGTGTTCTACCAAACAATGTGAAGTTTTATTGCTACTGTATTGAAGGTCCAGGAGTGGAACGTCGTCGGTGTCCCAACGTTTTATCTCGTTTTATTTTTGTGTATTTACGTCATGGATTTTTAAAAACATATCCCTGCGTGGTTAGTTATAGCGCCTTCAGCTTCCACCGTCTCGCCCACGTATCAGACGTCAGCCTGTATTGCGACATCGTCTGTCTGAAGCTAGTTTTTACGTGTGTGAGACGTCGTGACGTTTGAGGATCGTGGGTCAGATCGGCCTGAACAGCGTGTTGGCTTGCAAACTGCAACACGGCTCCATGTCTTGGACTTACTAGATCCTGTTGTGGCCGGTTCTATAGAAATGTGACGTGGTACCAAGTACCAGCCAGTCCCTTACATGTGTGCATGATGTTCAGAGTCCTGAATGCATGCTCAGTGCACCTTGGAAAGCTCTACAGATGATGAACATTGAGAGGCCAGCGGTATTAAGGACAGTCCTCGTTTCATTCACTCCGTGCGTATTTAGCATATTAATATGTTGCTGCAGCAGCACGCGTCCCTCGGGGGGCGCTCTAAGACGATTTGCTGCAGTTTGAGATCATCTCTGAAGTGCATTCTGTTTGCGAGGAAATCACGTTTGTATTGAGAAGCACGAGGATCTTCTGGTGTTTTGAGAAAACGCCGACTGATTCAAATGAAACGGTTTAAACATGTTAAACAATCAGCATCCAAATGCTCGAGAGGAGTCTTGAACTACTCGTTAAAGGAGCTAAATGTGACGAGCTCATTGCACAGGATTGGGTTTTTGCTTGCGCTGTGTGCCTGCTGTGGAGTTTGAAGGTCACGTTGTTCTGACCAGTGTTGGAGAGCAGCTGGTACACGGTACCTCCACTGGACTGGGCCTTTCATTAGACTTCTTTATTCTGTTACTAGCTCAGTGGCGTAAACGTGTTGTTGATGACTGTCTGCTTCCTGCGTGTGAGCTCAGCATCACAAGACTTCTTGTTTGCATTTAAACCTGAATGTTGCTGTGAATCAGGATAATGTGATTTCCCGTCATCGAGCACTGAAACGTGAGCACAGCAGACGATCTGCTGCCCTCCAGGCTTCTCCGTCTGAAGCCCTAAAACCAGTAATAAATCAAAGCGCTGCTGTCATTTTGTGTGTGATCTATGAAAATGCTGCTGAGCGGGAAGTCGCAGCTGCACTAAAACCCGAAGTTTGTTGAATGTAACGCACCTGCACAGGTGTTGTGTGTCCGACACTCAGAAGAGGTGGAGGACAGAATGATTTGTGGGGATTGTGTTTAAGTTTCAGAACTTTTTAAAGTGTTCAGTTCTGCTGGAGAACTTGGACGACGTCCAGGTGGTGCTGCTGTAGGACTGTGGGGGGAAGAGGGTCGATGAAAGTGTTTAACTTAAATCCCACCTCTGTCATATGAACTAGATCAACCTGAAAGCCACCGACGGAGAACATTTACTCCAGCTGACGTGAAAGATGCAATATGTACAGGATGTGATAACGTGAGCTTGTTTTTGAAGTGGTCAGTATCGTATGCTGTATATTTATAGACATATCATCTATTTTTCATTCTAAAGTATTTACGTAGTTTGGTTCCATGAATGTCTGACTTTAGCCAGTTTTCAAAGTCTCTTTTTTTTGTTTTTTTTGTTTGTTTGGTTTTGTTTTTTTTGTTTTTTTTTCAATCTGCTTGAGCTGGCCGTTGTGCTGGAGAAGTTTTACCGGCGACATGTTTTTGTGTCATGCGGAGCCTGTTTGTGGCGACAGATCTGTACTGATGGGTCAATAAAAACAACTCAAGCAGCTCTTGGTTCTGTTCTCCTTCTCACACGTCTCACATTTAGTTAAATCTTCATGAATGTGTTAATGGGGCCAAAAACTAAGGATTTTAAGAATTACACAAGTTTCCACACCTGGGAAATCCTCTCTTTGGAATAATAAAAAAAGAAGTCTTAGCTAGGAGACCATATTTAGGGTTAAATATCTGCAGAACTAATGACTGTCCAGCTCAGAGCTTAACTGAGGACACCAAGTTGTTCTCAGCAGGTTCAAATGGTCAACAAAGGCCAAACTTTGAGTTACTGGCTGTTTGAAAATGGGGAAAAAATGCAAATTGTTCTACAAACCTGCTGCTGGGTTCCTGCAGAGTTCCTGTCAGCATGTGTACACGAGCATCCATGTTTCTGATAAAATACAGTCTTTGGTTGATGAACTTTTGAAGCCAAACATTACTAGAATTTGATGTTTGGCGAGTCCAGCAAGACGAGGTTCCAATGTTCTGCTGTTCTGTTATAAAGAACTCTGACTCATGCAGAGGAGCATGAGAGCTGGTGTATATGTGCAGCGTTGTCTTCATGTTAGAACTGAACAAATCAGATGTTCTTCTACACATCCTTGAAGTGAACGGAGAAGAGCAGCTGATTTCCAAAATGAATAACGTTTAAAAATGAAACTTTTCTTCAGCTAAATTACTTTCTTCTTTTTTAATTTCTAAACTAATGTAAAGTGAGCAGCAGGACTCTGGGTTCCTCACACGTCTGTTAATCGCAGCTTGTCAACACTTTCAGTAGCAGCTCAGAGTCTCTCAGCTCTTCCTCCGAGAAGCTTCAGGTTCTGTCAGATGTTCTTTTCTGCTCCGTCCTGCGAGGCCAGAACCTTCAGCCTGCGCCTCCTGAGGTCAGTGGGTTTGGAGGTGTGTTTGTCCTGATGCTCTGATGTTTGCTTCCAGAACTCGCTGCTGTTTAATGGACTCCATTGTTCCCTCCAGTAGTGAAACGTTCCCGACGCCACCAGCTGCAGCCCAAAGCACCACGGATCCACTGAACAGCTGGAGAGGTCTTCATGAAACCTGCACTGTGTTTCTTCAGACTTTGCTCATTGCAGCCAGAACCTTCTGTTTTATCTTGATCAGCGCATCAGGCTCGTTCTGGTGTTTGTTTGTGGTGCCGATGCAGGACAGACTTTTCCATGAAGGTCGTCTTTGTGCCGGTGTTTGTGCAGAGTGGAGCCGGATCAGCGCCGCAGAGTCCGATGGAGGCTCCTGAAGTCTTCTGTAGTCAACATGAAGTCTGGTTTTCTTTTCCAGGAGTTGCATGAGGCAGAGTGAGACCATCAAGCCGCCAATATGACAAATAGAAGAGAGGACGTACCTTTGCTCTCGCCGTGCTGCTGGGAAGCTGATGATGTCACTTCCACTGTGTCATGTGACTCACTGTTTTCTTCTTCTTCTACGTTAAACATGTCAGGTGACGTGGTGTGGGACACGGGTTCTTTCATAATTAATATTTACAATATTATGTTGATTAAAACAAATGTTTCCACAATTACAGGAGACGTCTATTCACAAAATAATACAAAAGAAAATTAATTTAAAATGTATTTTAACTGTTTTATTTGAGATTCAGTTTGGTCATCAGGAGGCTGGGACGAGAGAAAAACTGTATTTTAGGGGGAACTTCAGACACGTTTTGTATTCTAAGAAATACTTGGAATCAACATTTTCTCCCAGTTTATTTCAGTTTGCTCCCAGGACCAGAACCGTTCACTCAAAAACTGCCTGATTTAATGTGTTGTACGTGGGTTGTATGAACGGTCACGGCTGGATGTGAAGTGACTCCTGTCAGAAAGCAGCGTGAGCTCGCCTCATTCCTGCAGTTTATTGTCACACTTTTGAATTAATTGACTTTTTCCAGCATTTCTGAGCCTCAATCTGCTTTAAGGGCTGAAAACCATCAGAGCAATAAAACATGATGCATCAGGTCAAACCTGCAGTTTATAGTTTTACATGTTGAAGTGTGAGAACGTGTTCTGATCAGCTGGTATCAGACGGAGGTCAGAACGGTCCTTCCATCGTCCAGAGCTGGTTCTGACCAACCACCGTCACACATACGAGCCTGAACGTTACCCAACATGCACTTCTTGTTTTCTCAAGCAGGAGCAAACTTTAATGTTCAAGCTGTGGCAGGTGGATGTGAGATTAACCTGCTGCTTTGAACAGAACTCAGACGTTTCTCAGCCCTGCTGTGCTTCTGAGATTCAGAAATACTGGAAGAACTGTGCAAATTATAAAATGTACTCACGATAAAGGCCTGCAGCTCGGAAAATAGTCCTAGTCTGAAGGTAAACTCTTCATTAGCTGTAACAGGTTTTTGGATGTGCAGGTTATACTGACTGACCCAGTGACGCTAGGAGCTGAGGAAACCGCTGCCTCACACCTCCTAAAGCCTTCTGCTGCTTTGTGGGCATCAGTTATCTTTCAGAGTGCTGAGAGGAGCTCCTGGCTGCTGGTTGTTGGGACAACGTTTGAGTATTTGTGAGTCTGTTGATGTCCAGAAGATCTGAGCTCTGACCAGCTCTCTGGGCTCTGAGACCTCGGTGAAAGGGGAGCCGGAGAACTAAACATCTTGGTTTCATCTTCTACCTTCTGCTTGTTGTGGCTCTGGTCATCTGTCACAGCAACAGAACTCTGAGCTGCTGCTTCACTCCATCAGCAGGTATCTTTGTTTTATGAGCTTTCACACATCTCTCATGCTGGAAACATGCATCTCACATGGTTTCATCCTCAGCGTTACTGCTTCAAAAGGTCACGTTTTTCTTCCCAGACAGGTTTACCTTCAACTTCAGACGTACTGTTTGTGCACAATAAACACAATAAACACAATGAACACAATAAACAGAAGACAGACGGGGACTCTAGCAGCCATCTGGCTCATTCATTCAGCCAGGTGTGTTCCAGGCAGCAGCAGCAGCAGCAGCAGTCAGGGTTCACCAGGTTAAAGGGCAGCACAGGTATGACTAACGTACCTGTCTGTCTGTTTATGAGCAAGCTGCTCAGGTTCATGAGTCTCCTGGTTCTTTGAGCCAAAGCACACGGAGAGCTTCCTCTCATTAATCATTGTTTGATGGTGCCAGAAGGAGCAGCCAGGTCGTCATTTTAGTTTATTTGTGAGACCGATCTGTTCTTCATGGCTGAATGATCCAGTGATCCGCTGCCTTCACGCTGCCAAACATAACGGTTCAGGTTTAGTCTCTGTCTGGTCCGTTGTGGACGGTGAGATCCTCCAGGAAACATCTACCTGAGCTCAGAGTCTGCTGCAAAGTGTTTAAGTCCAGAAAAGGCTTTCTGGCTGGAGAGGCTGTTTCAGGCTCATCATTAGAAGAAAACAAAACAACAACACGCTGCTCATCATCCGTCTGGGAGAAGTTTTCTGTCTTTAGTTTGACTTCACCTCCATGAGAAGCTGGTTTCAGCTCAAAGCAGGATTCAACAGCAACATACACAACTATACTTTAACTGTTTAAACTCTCTCAGGTTATAAATGCACTTTTAGTGACCGCGAGATGACAGGAGATGAAACTACGGAGGAGGTCTTTGCAGGGTTCAGTTCTTTGTCTTTAAATGTCTCCGTCATAGAGAGAAGAGTTAAAAAGTTAAAACCAACAATAGGTGCAGCTTTTAAGACAAAAGAAAGTAAACACTTTGCAGAAATAGTTCTCAAGTATCATCACAAAAAGAGATTCTTCTGAAGTTCTGCAGGGCTCGGCTGGAGCGCCATCTGCTGGACAGCAGCAGGAAGTGCAGCCACATGTGAACTGATCCAGCTGTTGTCTCGTCTGTGATGTGCTGCTGCAGCAAAGATCTCCATCCCTGATCTGTGTGAACGCTGGGGGGAAATAAAAGCTGTTTTATTTTGTGGGTGATTTAAGCTTGAAGTGTTTGTTTGTTTGTTTTCCTGTTTCAGAGCGACAGAAGGTTCCATCGGAGGAACAAAGAAGCTCCAGAGTTGTTTGTAAGAATGTAAAAGGCACGAGAACAGGATTCTGTGGGTTTTGTAATTAATCATTACACATAACAAACCTGCTTTAAAAACTTTTTGACGTGTTCCCTCTGGTAGAAAGTAACTAATTACATTTACTCGAGTACTTTAGTGCAATTCTGAGTTGCTTTCACTTTACTCGAGTATCTGCATTTTCCTCCACTCGACTATATTTCAGAGGAAAACATACTTTTTGCTCCACTTTAAAGCTTTTTCTGCTTCACACATGACGAGCTCGTTAGCAGACTCAGATCTCTCCTCCATGTTTGTAGTTTTTTAGAAAACGTGTTATTTTGCTGTTAGCTTGAGATGAACTGGATCAGACTGAAGCTGATGTGACTCAGTGGAGACGACAGCAGAGATCTCTGAGTCTCACTGATGCTGTCTCAGGTAGACGATGGAAACGTGGGTTTATGGAGGTTTGTGGAGATGGACTGATCTGTTTGTGCAAATGAACTCTGCAGATTTAGTTTAATAAGACAAAATACAGCCAGCAAATAAATTATGATGTCATATTATAGATTAAAACTTAAATCACCTTCAAGCTCCAGCATTTAATAATATCTAATCCAATAACATGCTTTTGGTGCTTAAAGAACTTTAATGCTGATGCATGTGTAGCTTCACTGTAAACATGTGAATTCATTGTCGTTTATCTGCATTTCTACAGAGTTGTGTTTCTACTTTAACTGTTTAGTTTAATTAACGGCTGCAGGTTGTGACATCAGCACGTTACATCTGTGATCAGAACAATCATCTGAGTTATAATTACATCTATTTTAAAACATCCTAAACGTACTGATAGATGTCAGAACTTCTTCTACCTCAGCACCTTCACCTCTCTGTCCGTCTGTGTTCTTGGCTCTGAGGTTTTTATTGCACAAACCTGACTTTAAAATCCAATCATCAAAATGCGAGTACACAGTAGCAGCGAACAGAAAACACTGAAAACACTTTGCTGCAGTCGCACAGCATCCGTTCTGTTGCTG